AAGCTAACAGTAAAGCAGCGTATAACCTACCTAACGATCTTGGGTTGGCAGAACAGGTGTTAAGGGAGATAGCGAAGAGCTAAAAATTTACTAAAAGCTACAAAGGACAGTAAATTGTAAGGAGCCATTATCGCCCATATTCTGAAGGGACACAGCACAAAGAAGGAGCCTGGCTAGCGTCATTATTTGTAATGGATTAAATTCGGAAAGAAATGAAAATTAAGTGAATTATCATCTGTTACAGTGTTGTGGTGTCATCCCTCTAATGAGGCTATTGTGGACTCTTCCACTTACTGTAAGTAGTAGGATAGTAAGCGTCGGGGGAACGATGATATAGACTGTTCTAATGAGGGTGTTCGCAGCTCCTGTCGAACTCTCTGCTCAAGGCAGAGACGAACCCGGACGGGGCTGTGTCGAAAGGCAGAGTTTCGTCCGGGAAGGTCGACAGACCCGAACCCGTTTATGCGGGATCTACGGGGATTTAAACTCAGCCTTGTGCCACATATATATCTCGTGGGGGCGGGGCTGTTAAATATTAAAAGTGATATAGACTGAACGCTGGTCAACCGACACACACTCCCAACTCGTGTAATTCACTTCTGTTGTATTTACTGTTCAATACACTATTTATCTGCAACATCTATTTTTGTTATTTATTAACCCTTATTTCGTCACGACATAAAATGTGTATACATTTTTAAAGAGACACCTGGTATATGAAGATTGCCCATGTGCATGCTTAGATATATTGTTTAATTCAATGTGACACATGCCACAGCAGTTGAACTGTCAGTGAACAGTTGACTCACGAACTATGACAAGTTTGCTAACCACTTTTCTACAACATGCGAATAACGTATGTCCGATCATGTTGACGCGAAATTGGTTCATTATAGGTTTTAACCTGAGCTTATATCTACTATCTTAGAAACGTTTATCTTTACAACACTATTGGACTCTACTTTGACCAATAAGAATGTATAATTACTCTCCATGGTTAACAGAAGAATCGTGAGGAAATCGATCATAAACGAAAATGATGTGTTCATCATTAATTAATCAAAGCTAAGGATTGGAAGCTCATGAAATATTAAAATAAAGTTCAAATAAAGTTATATATATATATATATATATATATATATATATATTATATATATTATATTATTCAGGATCGTTTTCCAATTTAATGAAGATGATCGTCGCCTTCTCTAACCTTCTAACTTTCTGTTCCTGAGTAACAAGTTGCCTCACAGTTTTCACATACGATTTCATTTTCAAGTCTTTTTTCACTGCTCTTGGACTGTCATAGCTGAAACTCCTCTCTCACCAACCAAACGCCTTATGGATTAAGCTTGATCTTTTCTAATTGATTTCTTTTGTTCCAAGTTGAAATGATTATCCCTCTTCCTGTTGTGACCTTCTGACCCAGTTTTCCTCTCTACTGTTCCCTCTTTTTTAAACTTATTTACCGTTCTCTTGATGGTTCTTGAATGGACTGAGTACTAATGTTAGTACAGTTACTGAATGCGTGAATGATATTTTCCTCTGACCATTGCTCAATTGGAAAGACAGTGGGTCTGACACAAAACAATTTTAACCTGCTCTCTTTTTAACTAAATAACTCAGTGATTCTTACGAAAAACATTGTCAAGATAGCTAAACGTCTTATTTGAAAGCATAGAAAAAAATTAAATTAGTATAGTGTCTTTTTTTAGATATTAAACATTTTGTGGGAAGGATAATGATAGTGTTACACGATCTGGACAATTTTGCTGTTACACCTGGTATATATATATATATATATATATATATATATATATATATATATATATATATATATATATCAGGGAGAGATTATAGTTGTTCCAACGAGAGAAAAGTGTTTATTTTAAAGAGATAAAAAGCCGCAAACGTTTTTGATTATAATGTGGATTTTTTTTATATACTTCATTCTATATATTTTGCTACACGCGTTTCGGGTCTTGTGACCCTCATCAGGCGAATAATGGTTATTTTCAGATATTATATAAGGAATTAATTTTTTTTCTTCCTGTGTTTCTTCCATTGTCTTTTATGTCTTTGTAGTAGTCATCTGAATCCATCTTGAATTTTTGTCTCTTTAAAATATATATATATATATATATATATAGACATTTTTATGTTTAACGTTCTTTTTATAGATACAAGTATTTAAGTAAATGCTCTGTTTATAATAAACAGTATTAAATAACATATAACATATTAAATTACCGGCCTGAATGTCCGAGAAATTTTCATAGAAAATATTCGTCCTTTGACAGGATTCGAACCTTAGCGTAAATGACGGTTCCGTATAGGATTCAGGTTCGAATCCTGTCAAAGGACGAATATTTTCTATGAAAATTTTTCTCGACATTCAGGCCGGTAAATGTTATTAATACTGTTTATTATAAACAAAGCATTTACTTAAATACTTGTATCTATAAAAAAGAACGTTAAACATAAAAATGTCTTTAATAAATAAATTGTCGGACTTTGTCCATTTCTTAATATATATATATGTGTATGTGTGTGTGTGTGTGTGTATGTGTGTGTGTAAAAATTTGTTTATTCCAACTCAAGGCGATACGGGGAAAATATGAACTAAAAAGATGATTGGTTATTATTATTATTGTGTATGTTATGTATCCTGATTTGTATCCCGTAGAGCAGGGTCTAAACTATCGTCCTTAGGCTCTATAGGATAATTGTCATTTAATTGATAGCACTTGTCTTAGTATGTTCCTAGGAGGGCGATCTTCTATTATTATTATTATTATTATTATTATTATTATTCCTATATATATCATTATTATTATTATTATTATTATTATTATTATTATTATTATTCCTATATATTATTCCTATATATTATTATTATTATTATTATTATTATTATTCCTATACATAATCCATACCGAGTCATTGCCCAAAGTAAATTACTTAATATATGCATTCTGTTTGCACATAATCTGATGTTAAGTTTCTACCTATTTTGTACTCCTTTTATATTTTCAGGATGTGGTGCAATTTAGCATCAAATGGATTAATTGAACTATTCTTTTCTTATGCCACTGTGACTCGTCTCGTTTACATGAACTTGTCATGAATATCTACCATGACACAATTAAGATTCATCGCATTTTGAAGCTCTGTCATTGGAAAAGTCACATTTCAAGAATAATCCATGCTTTCATTGAAAATGGTCCGGAAGGGAGAATGTTGTTTTGCCAGTAGTTCTTTACAAGATTTGTAGAAGAGGTACCTTCTTCCAAAAAAAAAAAAAAAAAAAACGATTGTTTTGAGAGTCAAGACTAAATTTAAATTAAGTGGTTCAGTTAAGCGCCACCTACTGGAGACCTGAGGTCACGCTTATTATAGGACATTATGTTAATTTATCTGGTGCGCACAGGCCACACTAGTTGAAGTGCCGGTGAACAGCACTTGACTTACAAACTCTGACTAGTTTGCGTACCACTCTTTTCCAACAGGTAAATAATGTGTCCTAGATTATGTTGACGTTAAATTGGGTGCTTGTAGATTTTATCTTTATTTTATATCGACTGTTAGCTATTTCTCTATCTCTCCTTCTCTCCCCCTCTCACTCTCTCTCTCTCTATCTCTCTCTCTCTCATATATATATATATATATATATGTGTGTGTGTGTGTGTGTGTGTGTGCTTACAAAATTTCGCTTATTTCGACACAAGGCCAAACGGGAAAAATATGAACTGAAAAGATTGTTTATTGATGAGACCCCGACGCCAATCTAGTACTGCGCTTAAATTCAGGAAGTCTAGGTACCATCTCGAGGAGATCATTCGAACAACTACAATGAAAATACTTATAGAAAATACACTGGGAGGCGGTTGGAAAGTAACTGAAGCCGAACCGCCAGATCAGGACCCATAATATTGCTGATTCTTTTTTGGATTTTATCAAGGAGCTCTAGATAAATAGCAGGAGCACCGGACCATATGTGTTAGCAATATTCTAAGCATGGACGAATGGTAGACTTATAGATATATAGGATAGTTTCTGGAGAGAAAAATTGTCTCGCACGAAACAGTGATCCAACTTTCTTAGCAGCTGACCTAGCAAAGGATTCAATATAGTCTTTCGACTTCCTGTCAGCTGAGAATGTGATCTCAAGAAGGCGTAATGAATCACTTTCCTGGAGGTTCGCTTCAGCTATGCTGTGCAAAGGCAGAGAGAGAGGCCGCGCAGGTGATTAATGGAGTGAAGTTTAGTTTTGAAAGCGTTAAAATTGTACAAGTTAACAACAGACTGGGGATTCCCTGTTACATGGAATTTCTATTTGCGAATATGTTGGCCTGAATTTTTTTTTTTTTTTTTTGTCCGGGGAGGGGGTGGTTAACAAAAATGGGCCACAAGGAAGAAAAGGTTGAGAAACACTGTTATGGAAAACCTCGTTAAAACGTGTCTAGTTGATATTTACTCAATATTGTTCTATTAGGCACGTATTCAGAACAGTGGTGCTTTTCATGAGGTTTGAACTCATTTCACTACACGAGATTAGTTTTTGTTAACCACCACTCTATATCGGTCAACCAAGCAAGCCTAAGAATGTGTGTAGATATATACGTGATTATGTGCGTGATTATCATGATAATGAATGGTTAATACGTGTGCTTGTGTAAGAGTGGGTTCAAAAGGCATATCGCTTATCTGCTGTGATGAGGTGTTGGTCTCAAAATGAATATCGCTTAACTACGTAAATATGGAGGAGGAAGGGTAAAAACGAGTGAAAAGAGAGAATGCCATGAGATAGAGAGAGAAGGTCGAGAAAGAGAGAGTTGGTAGCAGTTAACAACTACAGGCAATACAAGGAGAGATATCAAAAAACGCTTTGTACAGTGTCAACGCGAGATTGTACGTGGCTTCTCTCTTGTAAGTATTAAAGTCTTTAATTCTGTTTGGGACTTATCAGTGGTTGAAATTAGTTTTCCGATGTGATTTTATTAAGGTCTTATAATCATGCAAAAAGATAGATAGATAGATAGATAGATAGATAGATAGATAGATAGATAGATCAGAATAGAATGCGATAGATAGATCAGAATAGAATGCGATAGATAGATCCGAATAGAATGAGATAGATAGATAGATAGATAGATAGATAGATAGATAGATAGATAGATCGATAGATAGATAGATAGATAGATAGATAGATAGATCCTGTATGCGAGATTTACATCGGTTTTTCGATATTCATATATACAGAAAGATATAATAATACTCATTAATAAATATATATATATATATATATATATATATATATATATATATATATATATATATATATATATAAATAGGAGTTGTTTTTCTGTTTTCATTTTGAATTTGTAGGTCTGATGATTTGGATCGTATTTACGATTCCAATGGAATAAATTATGACCATGGAATATTAGTGTTTAAGCCTTTTTATTATATATATATATATATATATATATATACACACACAAATTAATTACATTGTTAAAAAGTAAAACCTTACTCACGAACACGATCATTCACTTACTTTTGTTTATTAAACATTAAATGATATCACTTAACATCCTCCATAATTTACTGAGACATATCATTTTGCCTGATGAATATTTATGAGCGTTTCTTCCATTTAAACATTTTGAAAAACTAGCAACATATTTTATCTTTCGTTTATAAACACTTGTTGCAAAATAAAATCCTTACATTCGCCTTGATAAAGTCCATCATCGTTTTCCTTTGTCTTTAATTCATATTGTCCTTTTATAGATATATGTTTAGATATATCTGAAATTTTACACATACAAACACACACACATACAAACACACACACACACATACAAACACACACACATATCGAGCTCTCCAAGCTACTGATGTCTTTCGAATAATAAAGATTGCTTGGGGGTAGAATTTCTGACTGATGCCATAATTGGCCTGGTTTCGAAGTAATCAGATGTCTAGCCACACTGATGAGCTGTGATACAGCAAACAGCCTGTCTGTGGATGAGTATATATATATATATATATATATATATATATATATATATATATATATATATATTTTCTTTGAAAATGTCTGAAGAAAGGAGCCGAGAGCGCTTGGGACAATGAAAATTATGTAAAATTTATGTACTCCCTTACTTCTACAAAACGGAAAAAGTAAGGATGATGGAAAAATGAAAGAAAAAATTAATTACATCTTCCCTGTCTGCTGTATTTAATGAAAGATGTTTAAAAGAAACGTTGCTTCCCAAATAAATAATATATATGCCAACGTACACAACTGTATCAAGAAATCAAAATAAAATGGTTGGATCCGTCAAGATAAGAATAAAAACAATATTTCTACACGTGATAGTAATTGACGTAATTTTTAGTTAACAATATGAATACAATAGCGTTTTTCTACACTCTTCTAGTTGCTAAGGACATTTTGTTTGTTGTTAATAGTTATTTTGTTTTTAATAAATTCATTTCGTTTTTGCCTTGAAAAAGATTACATAATAATACAGTTTTCCTATTGTCTTTTACTTTTATATATATATATATATATATATATATATATGATGGAGTAGTTATCGGCATGCTTATCTTTTAATGACCCTAGTGAGTTCTTAGATCTATTACCATTTTCGTGTGCTTTTGTCAGCAGGCGTGTATATATATGTATATCCCCTCTCCATACATACACACTGTCTCACAACGAGGAATTAGTGAAGACATCTGTACACCCCCACACACATACGCAAACACATACACAAGTATAAAAACACACACATGCATACCGTCCCATTTCAAGGAATCAGTACACACACACACACGTACATACACATATTTCCCAAGTTACATGGAATCAGTATACACACACACACACACACACACACACATACATACACAAAGAATGTAGAAACTACCCAAATCTTTCCAAATTTGTTCGAACAAGTGTTTGTTTTTTGGACACGAATAAGTTAGGAACTGCTCAAATTTTTCCAGATCTGTTCGAACAAGTGTTTTCTTTTTTGGACACGGAATATGTAGAAACTGTCCATCTTCATCAGCTTATAAACTACCAAATTAGACTATTCCTTCCCAAAGTAAATAACAACAATAGTGAACACACAGTCAAAAACGACATCTATATTTTCTACAAAAAAGAACAAATTATTTACATTATTCGGACTATTGTCCTCATTTTTGTCGCCATATTTATTACAACGTTTCGGCCGTTCTACGCTACGGCCTTCTTCAGGTGGTTAGAATGTCGAACTGAACCGTTTATTTCGCTCACTGGGGTAGACTGTTCTAGTTCCACGTGCCATGTTTAATGGATGTCAGTTATCAGTTATCTCTTGTTAATTTCCCTCTGAAAGTTCTCCACTGCTTTAACCGGGTATTAAGTTTACGAATTTTCCAATGGGATCATATATATCGACAGGATGAGGGCTTAGCAATGGGCTCGCCATTATCACCAGCAATGGCGAATATATACATGGAATACTTTGAAGAAATGGCATTAGAATCTATATCTCTAAAACCAACTATATGGTTATGGTACGTAGATGACACCTTCATACTCTGGCCACACCAGGAAGATGTTCAGGTTCTACTGGACCATGTGAACTCAATAAGACCTTTGATACAGTTCACAATGGAGAGAGAGAGAGTAACAACCCACTCCCATTCCTGGATGTTCTAATATCTCGAGCAGAGCATGGGTTTAAGACATCCGTATACCTTAAACCGACATTCACCGGACAGTACCTCAATTTCAACTCCCACCATCCATACAGCGTAAAGAAAGGGATCGTCCGTTGCTTACAACACCGAGCAAAAGTCATAAGTGGCGACCCAGAGACGTTAGATAAAGAATTGGTCAGTATAAGTAGTACCCTACAACGTAACAACTACCCTGGGTACATGGCAGCAGCCCCCAAAAACTAGGATAAGGGGATACAAGAGGAGGAGGACAGCAACACTCGGAAAACAGTCTGCCTGCCTTATGTGAAGGGGTTATCAGAGAAAATACAAAGGTTCTGCGGTCCATATAACATCAGGACAACATTCAAAAGCTTGACGACACTTCGCAGATATCTCTCCCGAGTAAGACCCCCACCCCCATAGAGGAGAACATGACTGAAGATTGTGTGTACGCTATCCCGTGCAGCTGCGGAAAGAAATATAAAGGGGAGAGAGGCCGCTCCCTTAAGGTAAGGCTTCAAGAACACCAGAAGGCCGTAACTCGAGAGGAAGTGGAAAAATCAGGCATGGAGAGAGAGGGAGATCACCGCCCTCTGTGGGATCATGTTGAGATCATAGACAAAGAACACCATTGGGAAATTCATAAACTTAAGGAATCAGCACATATGCTAGGCCACAAAAATCTCCTGAGCCGACCAAGCATAGAAGTGAATACAATATGGGAACCAGTAATAAGGAGTGCCAGAGAAAATCAATGATAACAACAAAGCTTAGCTCTGGTAAGAACATGCAATGATAGCACCAAAATTGTAATATGAGCACTGGTAAAAATGATTGCTGAAGACATTAGGTTTATAATACCCAGAAATTCATACCCAAATGTTCTCAAGGACACATGGCACATGGATAAAGGCGTTGGTTCGATCCAGTGACAGGACCCAAAGAGTGTGAGTTCAATACCCGGTTAAGGCAGATAACTGATAACTGACATCCATTAAACATGGCACGTGGAACTAGAACAGTCTATCCCAGTGAGCGAAATAAACGATTCAGTTCGACATTCCAACGGAGAAAAAAGAAGGCCGGAGCGTAGAACGGCCGAAACGTTGTAATAAATATGGCGACAAAGAAGATGTGGACAATAGTCCGAATAATGTAAATAATGTACATAATACCTCATCTCAGAAATATAGACAGATCAAAAAACAAATGTACATCACCTACAAACAAGTTGAATCTTTACTTAAAAATATCATAAAGAAATACACTACCCCAATTGACCTGAACAAAAAAATCAAATTATCTACTACAAAAAATTTTAAAACAGCTAACCTTATCCTCAAAAATAACAACACTAAATCAAAATTACAACGAATGAACATTATCATGAGTTCAACATTATCATGAGTTCAACTGCCCCTTAAGGAACTGTATTTCTGATCAAACCGAATTCATAAATAATTACATCGGCCACACTACTACATGCCTACCCAGACGTCTTACGTTGCACTTATCTGAACATAGCTCTATTAGAATCCATTTAAACACACATGCAAGCTTACCAGATTCAATCTGAAACATACTAGTAGAAAATACAAACATAATAACCTCATCCACATTTAAAAAAAGATTAAAAATAAGGGAAGCCTTAATAATAAAAAAGAAGAAGCCAACACTCAATAATAATAACTATGAACACGGATACAATGTGCTGTGTTCGGAAATTAAAACATCCCTATAACTCTAAAAACATACACACAATCCATACACCCAATTAACAAGCAAACATAAAATCATCCTTGATAATGGCTAAAAGTATAGCCGACATTTGGACAGTTTCTATAGACTCTGTGTCCAGAAAAGAAAACAATTTTTCGAGCACAAGAAAAATTAAATAAAAGCTTAATAGTATTACCTTGTCTGTCGTCTTTAATAAAACATGTATAAATGAAAGATTTCTGCCTAAATACACTATATATATATATATATATATATATATATATATATATATATATATATATTACCCCAAACTGTATTTTGTTGGATACAGGTGTTTGAAAGCACACCGGATGAGACAGTGCTTTCTCCTACAAAGTGTAACACAGGTCGAAACTCTGTCATAGGGCACATTTTCTTTATTACTTTTTCTCGAGTGCACAGGCCGGTAGGCATAATACACACTATTTAAAAAAAAAAGGCCTAGTCAATAATAAACAAAACAATAAGCTAAAACCTAAAGAAGGAGTTTACTCCATTGCTTGTAATAATTGTCACAAGAAATACATAGGAGAAACGTCATGGAATCTAAATAAAAGATTATATGAACACAAAAGGAACATTTTACAAAATAATACGTCAAATACGTTGGTTGCCCACCGTATCGGGACTGACCACGATTTTGACCTAAAAAAATGATACTCTGATCAAAGGAAAAAATAATTCATTATGACGTAAATGTATAGCAGTGCCTTAATCACAAGGTCATCTACAGTAAATTTGCTCCCTGACTCTTACAACATTTCACCATTCCTGGCAGATCTTCTAATATCACAGTGTGGATTATCTACTAAAAAAAGTGATGGAAAGAAAAAGAAAAAGACTCTAAATAAATTCAGATAGATAAAAAAAAAATTAAATTAAATTAAAAAATTCCCAGCACCATTCTGATAGATAGATAGATAGATAGATAGATAGATAGATAGATAGATAGATAGATAGATAGAATTCTTTTCTGGTGCAGTCGAGCTCTATGAAAAATAGAATAAAACCTTAAATAGACAGACCTTGTCGGTTTAATTTTTGTTTATTAAAGTTTGCCCACAGCAAGGCTCAAGAGCCACTCATGGGAGAGGGTTACTGAATGAGATGTGTGTGATAAGAGCGATAGAAAGCGATGAACCCTTGACTTATTTAAGATTGTAGTGCTCAGAGAAGAATACACACAGTTTGTTCTTGGGAAAAAGGTAACAAAGAAGTTGAACTTACTCCTTACAAATTGAATACAGAGGGGATGTGTTTGATTCAGCTCCGTAGACATTGAATTGCGAATCCTAGCTGTAAAGCTTTGAAATGGTGGAACCAGAGAGTTGAGCTCATCTAAACATTTGCAATGGAAATAGCGACAGACTTGTTTAGATTAATTCTTGCTGCTTATATACAAATGTGAAAATGTTTACATGTATTCTGTAGAATATTTAACACAATATTTATGTTGATTTTTAATTTCTTTCTTTAGGCTTTGAATACGGATTAGACTGAGTAATTCATGGCTCCTCCGAAGCAGTTCTTCATTCTGTTCGTCTTTTTCGGACTTGCCACTCACGTCACCGCCAAAAAATGGGTCACTTACCGAGGAAGCTATGAGAAAAACTTAATATTCCCCAACGATATTCCTTACAATGTTCATGACCTTTATTTGGACAATAACCTTATTGAGACCGTCGACAGTATCGATTTGAATTTCACTTCTCTCGTCTATCTGAACCTTTCACATAACATCATTTATAAAGTCTCACCTGAAGCGTTTATTAACGTCAAACAACTTAAGGTTCTTGACTTGTCTTATAACAAGATCCTAGGGACCCTTTTCACTACAGCAACATTTAAAAAATTAGAAAGTCTGGAGCTTTTGGTTCTTAAAGGTAACCCTCTCGGCATTATCAAAAACGAAATCTTTCTTCCTACCTATTTTTCAAGAATACAATATACGATTGACTTCTCAGCTTGTTCCATACACACAATCGAATCAAATTCTCTGGTCTATATGGACAAGTTGACTCGACTTGATTTGTCGCTAAATAATCTTTCCAAACTTCACCCTGACACGTTCCTCGGCCTTTACAACATGAAACGACTAAACCTAAGTCACAATTTGTTGGACCGTGTTTCGACTCGGATGTTCCACTACCTCAATGTGTCAGTCATTGATCTGAGTTCAAACAAGATATCAATACTTGAGGATGGCTGCTTCAGCAAAATCAATCAGCTGCAGTCTTTGAACCTTTCCGATAATCGTCTCGCCACTCAACCAAAGGAGCAATTTGGCGATCGATTTCTTGGAGAGCTTGATCTTTCCAAAAATCTCTTTGACACGTTCGACACCAGCTTGCTTTCAGTAAAAGTAAGAAAATATCTTCGCATTCTAAGAATATCGAATTCGACCAAACTGGAGCGGATCGTGGCGGGAAAAGGGAGAGACGGTCACGCTGAAGGTTTTGAAAATCTTGAAAAACTTTACTTAAACAATAACGTAGCCTTGACAAATATCGAACCGGCGGCTTTTTCATCCTCCTCCGAAACTCTTCGGGTTGCCCATATAAGTAACACAAGGCTAGAAGAAATACTAGATGGTTTAATACAGTGGGAGAATTTGACCACTTATTCTATATCTACTCCTAATCTGAAATGTGATTGCCATACCAAATGGATGTTAGACGAAACCCACTTTGACAGGAGCAAAGCTCACTTAACGTAAGTAGGTTTCATTTTACTTTAATGTTCGGCCCCTTCAGGACGGAGGGAATCATGGCTCTCTACAAACACCTTTTTTTTAATTATATGTGAAATTTCTTTTTTTTTTTTTTTTTAAAAATACAATATTAGTTCACTATTTACATTATTCGGATTATTGTCCACATCTTTGTCGCCATATTTATTACAACGTTTCGGCCGTTCTACGCTCCGGCGTTCTTCAGATGGTTGGAATGTCGAACTGAACCGTTTATCTCGCTCACTGGGGTAGACTGTTCTAGTTCCACATTCCATGTCCTAATAGTTATCAGTTATCTCCTGTTAATTCCTCTCTCCAAGTTCTCCACTACCTTAACCGGGTATTGAACTCACACTCTTTGGGTTCTGTCACTGAATCGAACTAACGCCTTTATTCAGTACCATATGTCCTTAACTGAGGATCCGAATAAGCAGTTGTTTTTCTGATGGATTGATTCATTTCCTACGGTTTAGCAGGTTATTTAAAACAAGAAAACATTTTTAGATTGTAAGAATTATTTTGGCGATTATAATGACTTAGTGATACAAATACTACTAATTAAACATAGCAGCGGGGAAGGGAGAAGAGGTGGATTCATACCTTCCTCAAGGGTATTTGCGTATAAGTGAATGCAACGAACCACGTGCCATGTTTAATGGATGTCAATTATCAGTTATCTCCTGTTAATTCCCCTCTGAAAGTTCTCCATTGCCATAAGCGGGTATTGAACTCACACACTTTGGGTCCTGTCACTGGATCTAACTAACGCCTGTATCCACTGTTCCATGTGTCCTTGTTCTACCCCAGTGAGTGAAATAAAGGTTTCAGTTCGACATTTCAACCACCTGAAGAAGGCCGGAGCGTATAACGGCCGAAACGTTGTAATAAATATGGCGACAAAGATGTAGACAATAGTTCGAATAATGTAAACAGTGTACATAATACCTCATCTCAGAAATATAGACAGATACAGAAGATTAGTTCTACATTTGCTTTCTCTACGGTTTTTAAATTCATAGTAGTTCTTGAAATTCAATTGGTCAAATATTTTAAATATTTTCCAAGATCGTGTGTGTTTGCATCACCATAAACCTCTGCAAGTTTACATTATCATCGACTACACAATGACAAAAGCTGCATACAAAATTGCACATTTACTTATAATCTGTCGGATTAATAAATAAAAACTCCATTACGACTTTAGAAAATTGCTTCCTATATGTTTGGATACGAAACTGGGCAAATAATTTATAAAGAGAAGGCTTTCGCTTAAAGGCACTATTCAGCCTTGCTTGATCAGCAAAGATTATTGATGCCTGACTCGGTTAAAGCACATAGGATCTAATGACGGTTTCTCCTGCTAGGGGATCGCAGATTCAAACAATCCAGGAGCGCGCATATTTTTCTTTGATTAAATTTTTCGATTATTCAGGCCGGTAGACGAAAATAAATATACTGTTTAATAAATAAACAGGACGTCTACTCGAATATGAGTATCCAGTAAAACTAACGCTTAAAGTTATAAAATCTGTCTGTTTAAAAAATATATATTACTTCTTCAGAAATGACATGTACTTGTGTATGTAAACAAAGTAACATAGGCATACGCAAAATGCGTATAATATATACACACATACATATGTGTGTGTGTGTGTGTGTGTGTGTGTGTGTGTGTGTGTGTGTGTGTGTGTGTGTGTGTGTGTGTGTGTGTGTAAAATAATCCTGAAGAGCCAGGAACGAACTACCTACCTAGGTTTCACCTACATGGAATTTCAGGGTACCCTAAAGATCCATTTAGGTGAAACCTAGGTAGGTAGTTCCTGGCTCTTTAGGATTTATTTTCTTTCTTTGCTCTACTGAGTGTATTGAGCATTCTACGTTTTATCTTAGTTACTCGACTGGTGTCTTTTTCTTTGGACCAAAAATTTAAGGCTCTGGACGATTTTTCCCCTATTCGGTTGTTTCTAGTTCTTTCTTTCTTTCCAATTTTTCCTCGGATACCAACTTGTTTAGGTATATTTGCAAATTTTGCCATCCGAGTTTTTTTACCAACCGAGCATAATTATTATTAGTATAATATATATATATATATATATATATATATATATATATATATAATGTGTGTGTGTGTGTGTGTGTGTGTGTGTGTGTGTATAACGACAAAAAGAAAACTTATCTTAGCCGACAGGTTTCCTCCTCTGAGTGACTTTATCAAGACAAATATAAAAGTTCCTCGTCAGAGGAGGAAACGCGTCGGTTAAGGTATGTTTTCCTTTTGCTTTATTCATATTGCTCTTTTACAGATAGACTCTATCTGAAACTTTTACGCATACATATATACATACTGTATGTATATACGTGTAAAATATACATATATACATATATATATATATTAAAGAATATCAAATACTTAAAATCCCATGAGTATTAATTTTTATTTCATGAAACTTTATTACCTGTAGGATTTTAAATGTTTGATATTCTTTAATTAATAATAATTTTGCTCTGTCTTTTGACATAGAGCTCTACCTGGATCTATATACCCCTGGAAATTTCATACGGATTACCATATTGTATCATTACTATATATATATATATATATATATATATATATATATATATATATATATATATATATATATATAGAGAGAGAGAGAGAGAGAGAGAGAGAGAGAGAAATTTTTTTTGAAAAAATTATAAATATATATATATATATATATATATATATATATATATATAAATATATATATATATATATATACACAGTGGGGAAATAAATATTCGTACACTTGAAAAATTGTATTTTTATAAATGTAAAAGCCTTAAATAAAACAAATCTCGGTACATTTTCTGTATAAAGACACATACTATTAAAAAATAATAATAAACTTAATTAATTCTTATTCTAACATAAATTAATGCATTTTTTATTCTAACTGGTGAAAAAATTATTCGTACAAATCAATTATTAGAATAAAATAATCAATTAATTATGAAAAAAGTATATTCTAGAATGTTCCAGTAATGTTTTCAGTAATTATAGTTAACGCTATTAGCCATTATCAGAGCATTCTGCAATTTCTAATCTTACGAGAAGGTTCTAATAATGGCTAAAGGTAAAGAAATGACTATTTCACAAAAACAACACATTTTGTCTCTTTGGAAACAGTTACAGAACGATTCCTAACAACCTGAATATTCCTTTAACTGCAATTGCTTCGTTCATTGCAAGGTTTAAAACTCGTAACAGCGTCGAAAACCAAAGACGAACAGGTGCTCCGAGGAAGATTTCTCTAAGATCAGCAAGGATATTAGGACGCCAGATCCAACAAAATCCACAGGTTACCCTGAGAAAGAACTGCAGGAACATCTGCGTGCATTAGGGATTAAAGTAACCAAGCGTACAATAAGTAATGAACCACACAAAAACAGTCTGAAATCACGCATCCCAAGGAAGACTCCACTCCTCTTGAAACGACACAGAGATGCTAGGCTAAAATTCGTTAGAGAGCATAAGGATAAAAGAATATTCGTTTTGTGAAAAAGTACTATGGACAGATGAAACTAAAATAGAGTTGTTTGGTTATAATTATCGAAATCATGTGTAGAGGAAAGACGGTGAAGCCTACTTACCAAAGAACACGTTACCAACTGTAAAGTTTGGTGGTAGCAGTATCATGATCTGGGGCTGTTTTTTTCTGCAAAAAGTGTTGTCAGAATATCAATAATAGATGGCAAGATGAATGCCAAAAGCTACCAGAAAATCCTGCAAGAAAATTTAAAGCGTTCTGTTGAGAGACTTCGGCTACCTCCTGACTGGGTTTTCCAACTGGATAATGATCCTAAGCATACCGCTAGATCTACAAGGAAATCTGTTAGCTGAAAGTAACATTGATGTCTTGCAATGGCCAAGTCAGTCCACAGACTTGAACGATATTTGAAAATTCAAATTGGGAAAAGAGCACCAACAAATATCAAAAATTTGAAGACAATATGCCAAGAAGAATGGGACAAAATACCACTCAATGTGTGCAAATCATTAGTTGAGACGTACAAGAATAGACTGGTAGCTGTTGAACTCAATAAAGGATATTCCACAAAGTATTAAATTAAGTTAATATGCTTTTTTGTTTTGTAAATATTTTTTTTCATCAGTTAAAATGAAAAAAAATGCATTAATTTCTGTTAGAATAAGAATTAATTAAGTTTATTACTATTTTTTAATAAAATGTATCTTTACACAAAAATGTATCAAAATTTGTTTTTAGCAAAGGCTTTTACATTTATAAAAATACAATTTTCATTTGTACGAATATTTATTTCCCCCACTATATATATATATATATATATATATATATATATATATATATATATATATTATAATTTTATCATATAGACAAAAACAGTTTACTCACTACAAAAGATGCAACTTCGTTTCGGTGCATTTCAATTGCACCTCGACTGGTGAGAACCAAAAATGGTTATGAATAATTCTGCTCGTAAGCAAGCTGTATATGAAACATCACTTCCTTTTTACCATTTGTTTGAGAAAAAATATACATAAAGCAAAAAGGTGACAGAGTGAAACAATAGTGCTTGTTGATAGCAGTTTGGTGAAGCATGGGTGTTTATAAGCAGAATTATTCATAACCATTTTTGGTTCTCACCAGTCGAGGTGCAATTGAAATGCACCGAAATGAAGTTGCATCTTTGTAGTGAGTAAACTGTTTTTGTCTACACGAAAAAATTATAATAAATAATTATTGCTCTACTATCGGTTTCGATCCCTCTTTTGAA